CACAGAGTTCGAATAACAATGATTTTAGAATAAATGCGACCATAAAAACATCAAGACAAGAAATTTCTAAGTAATAATCATTAGGTAATATTACTTACTACTTTTATTTGTTGCATCGCATCGTCTGATTAATGAAAAAACGCGATTTTAACCTCACTCCAGCAAATCGGGAAAAACTGTTCTGTTTACAACTCGAAATTCCTTCATAATATTAATCCACTAAGCACATGGTTGGCATGTGCATATATCTGCTGTGGATAAATCCGTTTATTACCATGATTATATTTAATTTTTATGGAACAAGTCTTGATAATTTGTTGGTTACTTTAAAACTCAAGAAAAAAAGATAAAAATGTCCTAAACATATGTGTTTACGGTGGGTCTTTTTTCTGTGGCGATAGAAGTTATTTTCAAATGGGGCACTGCAAGGAGGATGCTTAGCATTTAATTTGAAAATGTTAAACACTATGTAGTGCATGAAAAATAAATTGTAATTACATGTCTTACATTCGAAAAGTTGGTACATATGTCTATTTTGTTTAGAAGTTAGATAGAAAAAATAGGCAGTTATAGGATATCCTTCAGGCACCTCACATAAATAGCTAGAATGTTTGCAATGACCCACACATTGTATGGAGTAATGTTTGGACACAAAAACACATCATGTCTCATTATGTTGACAACATTGTAAGCTCTCGCTCATTGAACATACGAATCTTGATAAAATATAATGAGTTGTTTCTATGAAATTTAGAAGCGAGCACAATGTTTGCAAAGAAAGGTCCATTGCATATATGCTATGTCTATTATCGCAAAAAAAGTGAGTGCTACCCCCCCCCCCCTCCCCCGAAAATCCTATGTTTGTTTCTCAAAATAGTGTCAAAGATTTTAAAAAATTGCATTACTAAGTATGTGATAGAACATGTACTAGCCTTATAAGACCACTTGTTATAAAAATATTTGGTTGCACTCTCCCCCCCCCCCCCATCTACTGCCTAGAAATGGCCCGACTCATTTTTTTAACATTCCATTACACGATATTTTTTTCTTTTTCTTCCTTCAACAATTCTGTTTAAATTTTAAGGATTTTTTTCTCACCTATAGATACGCACCCAATATTTTTTCCCTGAGTTGGGAGGACCACCAAACATCATTTTAAAGAAGTTTATAGGTTGATTTTTTCTCTTTACCTTGTACAATTGTAATTTTGAAAATATGGGCAAATAGAAAAAAAATGTATTCATTAAATCTCCTAACCCACTCTGAATGATTTCATGCCTTTTCAACTGTTGCTCCTCTGTGATGAAAATTATAATGCATGTTTATTTGACACAGTATACGAGGGGTGATCAAATATAAACAATATCGTAGGTATTTGATATTTATATTATTGTTGAAATATTCAAGTATTTTTCAAAGTGAAAAATTTTAATTGAAGGTCTTTGATAGCATATTGCTTTATTAAAAACACACCCCCTTTCAAACTTGCTTTCACCGGGCAACATAACAAGTATCATATTAAACTGCTTCACATGAACAAATTCTTATACGCTACTTCAAAGGCATTTCTAAGATATACATGTGCCACGAGTTCAACTGAGACAACCATTTTTCGTCAAAAGTACCCGAATAATGACGTCATTTTCAGATTGACATCACAAACAAGGATCAAAACTTCAGCATATGCTATTTATAGAACTTGTGTTTGGCTATCTAATCTGAACTGTGGTTTTGTAGATATAGAGATAATTCGCGAAATTTTTGATAACGCTTCGTACTAGTAGGTACTAAAACAAGGTCATTCATATCAATTTTATGTGTCTAATTTCTTTGTGTTTTATTGTAAATAATTAAATTTTAATAGATAATATAATTTATCTGTGGCAAACTTACAAACTCTTAATTTTTTACTTTGATGGTGCTCATTTTTCCTTACCTGGAATCAAAGAGTTTATTTTTTTTATATCAATACGTAAACTATATAACAACTGTTCGATCATAATACTAAATAAATTACTTCAAGCCACACTATAACACCTTTCCTCTTTTAAAAGTGTTCATATATTATATGGAATATTTTTCAACTGTAATTCTCTTCTACATTTAAAGATTGTTATGCCCCTCCATATTAAGAAGAGGTCTGGAAAACAAGATTCTGGGCTAAAAATAGACCACGTGCTGCTATCCATGAACTACTTTCATGGTTCTTTACACTCTTTTTGAAGACAATGGTACCTTGTTTTGAACTTGAAATTATCATTTAAAAAAGCAAAAATTAGACATTTTCTCAACAAATGGTTGTAGAGAGAACATTAATGCACAGTTTGCATATTTTTTTGGATTTTTTAAGGCTCGGCTGAATCCTGTAGCTGCGCAGTTCTAAGGAGCATATCAAAAGCATTTTTCTGCAAAAGTATAGATTATATATGCACAACATGCATTCAGTTATGCATATTTATTGTATCTTTATCAAAAAGACTTAAAATTTGATCAAAATATAATGTATTTTAGCCATTTGAAGAAATGTTTACATTTTGCTCTCACTGCACTAAAAGTGGCCGTACATCCCCCTTAAGAAAGTATATGTAACATTATACACATTACATATCGTATCTAGCCCAGTTACACTAAAGCAGTGAAACGGAAATTACCGTAAGTTTTAAGATTGACACTCAATTGCAACGTACAACTACGTGAGAGTCGAAGTAGTTTTTTACTTTTCATGTATCCTTATGTCAGAATCGTTTAATCAAACGCTCAGTTGCCTCCACAAACCCCTACTCGCGAAATGGCGGAGTCTATGGAGACAGCCGCCATTTTGGACCCGCTTCAGATTTTTGAATGTTAATATCTAGACTTTGGATTTGTTAATATTCAAACAGATTATATAGTAAGCATCATTGGAAAAGTTTCTATTACCCACGCTAAAAGTACTTCAAAAATATTGAAAAACAAAAAAGTTAGAAAAATCGACTTTTTAAATTCGCATCTGGTAACAACAGGAAGTATTGACGACGAACGAAAAGTTGCGTCCTGGATAGTAATTACGACGATCTATCATCCCTGAAAGTTTCATTTTGATATCTTTTACCGTTCTTGAGAAAATCCGTGGACAAAATGTCATTTTAAAATCAGGAAATGTCCCGTAACTTGGCACCGGAAGCGAATCTTCAAAAAATCTCTCGGATAAAATAACTTCAGATAATAACACACTGTTTCCATAAATTTCATGTCATTCCATCCAGTAGTCTTTGAGAAATCGCGTGCACAAAATTAGATGGGCGGAAAAATAATAATAATAAGAAACAGTAGAATCACTATAAGGTCTTCCGTGAAGACGGAAGACCTTAATAAGAAACCGAGTAAAAACAATATGTTCCCAAACTCCGTTTGGGGAACATAAAAACTCCGTTTGGGGAACATAATAATAAGAAACCGAGTAAAAACAATATGTTCCCAAACTCCGTTTGGGGAACATAATAAGAAACAGAGTAAAAACAATTTGTTCCCAAACTCCGTTTGGGGAACATAAATATATATAATTTAAGGTAAAACTTTTCATGATTCAACAATGGTATCATGTATTCTGGGACAATCTGTACTAGTATGCCTTTTTGACTTTACCGGTCAATAAATCTTCAAATAATTTAATATGTGGATAGGGACCATAAAATTAATTTGGGCATTCTTAAATTTGCATTGAAAAAGTAGAATTAATTATAACATTTTATACAACTTGGTAAGTAACACAAATCGTGCAGTGCTACTATACAAGTCAAAGAATGACAACTCACTCGTGGATGACAACAACTCATGTATGTAGATTTTGTATTTCATTTGTTGTATTTTTACCTCTTTCAATGATTAGATAAATCCTTTCTTTATTTATTTCCTTGTGAATTTTCTATTTTAAAAAGATCAGACCTTTCTCATTATGTGATAACTGAGTCTGGTCAATAAAGATAAACTATAGACATATCTTTCATCCATATGTGGCAGATATATATCTTATTATTTGTTTATTTATAAAGTACCATATAATTAGATCTTAGTATAGGATAGCCGTAAGTGAGCGCAGAGTATAAGAGATCACCTGAATTGCACTTTATCCCTTGGTACCCATATTACTACTTAAGTAACATCATGGAGTACGTAGGTACTAATTATCTATTACTTTGACTCACATAAGACAGCAAGGAAGACTAGACAAGTTTACGGGTAAATAGTTGACATATAAGGTTGTTTGATTGGAGGAGCAGATTTTGGTTTATTGGGTTGTTATTTCAGATACATATTTTATTAATTTGTCTTTGCATACATGTACATAATTATTATGTACATGTATTGTAATTGTCCTATATTATATTTAATTTGATTTAAAATGCACATATTGAGTAATATAATTATTCAGTTTAAAGCCCTTTAGTGTGCATTCACCTATGTCCGTCAAAGGTGTATAAAGATAGAATTTTACTTATGATTATTTATCTGAGATATATCAATATTGTTTAGGTTAATTCTTTTTTATTGAATATTATATGTTAAAATGGAATGAAAAAGTAAAACTATTTGAATGAAATCGAATTTGAATTATCATTTATCATGTTTAGTTTTGAAGAAGTGGATGTGCTTATGAAAAAAAAAAGTTTTGTATTTCTATTTTGAAAAACCTCCAAACATAATGGTTATGATAATGGATAACATTACTAAAGTATATGTAATGGTAATGTAATGCATTGCTTTAAGGAAAAAAAAGAGTAATGGTACTGCATGGTAATTTAATGCCCAAGTTATTGGCTTTTTGAAAATTAAATGTAAAGTATTCTGATTATTGTACTTTATAATGTCAAATTTTGAAATTGCTTTTTGCGAAAAGATTTTTTAACATTATAAAAGACTTGGAATCAAGCTCATCCGTTCCGTTAATTGGTTGATCAATGGAAAAAAATGCGACTTATCGGTTACATGTACATATACCAATAATTCTCTGATTGTCATCCTCATATATAACCGTTTGCCGTTAATACTCTCTCTTTTTTAATCGGTCCGAGGTGTTTCTGATTTTGTAGTCCATACTTACTTGGTTTTCTGTAAGCTTTGTTGTCGATGATGTAAATGTCATTGTGTGGATGTAGACCTATACAGGATCTCACGATGTCAGGTCTCGCCCAGTCCCCGTATCTCCAGAGCCACGTCACGTGATCTACACTGTCATGTGATCTTCCTCTGTAATGTACAGCCTCTCCTTGTTCTGTTAAGGTTATTAATAACTGCGTCCGTTCACTTAGATTCCCCCCTATTTCGTTGTACGGTGTGTTTACTGTAATATTAAAAAAATCGCAAATATCAAATACACATTTTATTGAAAGAAAATATATATTCCTGCTCATTAACTTTATTCATGCATGTCGTTGTTTTCCATTATGTTTTGTAATTTTTTAAAATGTATAATTCGTCATGTTAAACAGAATATAAGGGAAATGCCAAAAAAAAAAAAAAAAAAAGGCCAAAAAAAGAAAAGAAAAAAAGAAAAGGAAAAGAAAGTTTAGAATTTTTTATATCTATTTATCTAAGCACAAACAAGTAAATTCTTTTGAAACAGCATGTTCTACAAATTTACAATGATCAATGAAAGGCGATTGCCTTACAACAATGCAAAGTACAAGTGTACTTGCACTTCATCAATACTGAATGGGTCCTTTTTATGTGACTTTCGAATACTGTAAAACGAGAATATTTAGCGCACTACTTATTTTAGCGCCTTTGGTGCAAGAGCTCCTGAGCGCTAAAATTTATTGTGCGCTAAAGGATTTTGTAAATATCATTTTTGTGTGTGTGTGTTCAAAGCTTTTACATAAGTATATGTAAACTGAAACGCGCGATTACGTAATGCCGAAAGATCATTGGATTTTATATTCACACTAGCACTGCATTTGTTCGGAAGACAGAAAGCTCTGCCGAATTATAATTTAATTAAACTATTGTTAAGCCGGTACATGTAGTTGTTACCCGATTGTTATCATTAGCACCTTCAAAGTTTGGCTTCTTGGCGTGTCAATAATCTATCGCCTCGAGATAAACAATGCAATCAAGCATGGCGATTGAGCTTGCAGATAATACCTGATTAGGATTACCGTTTTATCTAAGTAATTTTCTGTCAATGCTTGCATTGTTTTAATATGATTTAAACGAGTAAATACATGTACTCAATTTCTTTGAATTGAAATTGGAAATAAAATAAATTTTAACATTGTACCATGTCCACGTGATAGCAACACGTACCGCGGTAAAGTTAACGAATGTTTACTGATATACGGGAGTACTAATGTGTTTCCCTGCTTGACTAACCAAAGTCAAATACAGGTGTGGATAAAAAAAAAACAAAATATCACATTTATATATTTTACTGACAAGTGTACGTAAGCGCTAAAATTTATTTACGCCAATGCATTCCCACTTGCGTTTGCGCTAAAATACGTATGCGCCAAATTATCTCGTTTTACAGTATATAACCAAATCGTTCTCTTTTGGTAAAATTTAGATACTGGTGAATATTTCTAAAAAGCACGTTAAGCATCATATAAATCAGCATGGATTTGAAACAATGGAATATTTTCAGATACTCATGGATACCCTAAATCCGGAAAAATCGTACCGAACCTTCTTTGAGTTTCGTTAATGTAAACCGAAGGGAAAAGATATTTAAATCGACACCTGAAAAATCTTGCTCTGAATCTGTTTAAAATGTAAATGAAATTGTGAAGTTGCCTGTAGCCATAATGATCAAACTAAGAAATATGCACTCTTGCATTTGAAATATTACAAAAATAGTGTCACTGAATTTGAAATTAAAAAGGAGTGTTTAGGTGGCTTTCAACACAAATGTACCTGTTTCATTTTTTCACTGTTTCACTTTTACGAACGACACTAAACTATCTTTACCCTCCCGTGTTCTTAAAAACAAATACATACAAATACACTGTATCTCAAAGCGGCACGACTTTGATTTAATGATACAAAATCTACATGTACCTATGTTATACAGTGAGCACATTTGAGATATGGTTACTAAGGTAGAACTCACGTGACTATCAGTTTTTTTTTTAATTGATTAATATCAAGGAGCAGATTTCAAACAATTCATTCATTTTCAGTATATGAGTACAGCCCACATCCTCTATGGTACCCCTGACCCTGAAGACTTAAAATTCACACAATTCTGCAAGATTAAGGCCCTTGCTCATCATGAATATATAAGTAGTTCATCTGCTTCATATCCAGAGACAAAAAAAAAACAATTTTCAAAGAATTCTTTATTTTCACTGTATAATCAATAGAGTCCCGCCCATAACACAAGAACCCCTGACCTTGGGGCCATAAAATTCACAATTTTGGTAGAGGCACTCTTGCTCATCATAACTATGCACTAAGTTTATTTAATACCTAGGAGAAGATTTTCAAAGAATTCGTGTATTTTCACTATATCATCTATATAGACCCGCCCTAACACCAGAACCCCTGACCCTGGGGCCATAAAATTCACAATTTTGGTGAAGGCACTCTTGCTCATCATACCCATGCATTTAGTTAGTTTATTTAATATCCAGGAGACGAGAAAAGGATTTTCAAAAAATTCATGTATTTTCACTATATAATCAAAAGAGCCCCAACCTAAAACCAGATACCCTGACCCTGGGGCCATAGAATTCATAATTTTGGTAGAGGCACTCTTGCTCATCATATCTATGTACTTTGTTACTTTATTTTATACCCAGGAGCAGAGAAGAAGATTTTTAAAGTATTCGTGTATTTTCACTATATAATCAATAGAGCCCCGCCCTAACACCAGAACCCCTTACCCTGGGGCCATAAAATTCACAAATTTGGTAGAGGCACTCTTGCTCATCATAGTTATGTACTTATTTACATTATTTAATTTCCAGGAGCAAAGAAGAAAATTTTCAAAGAAATAATGCATTTTCACTATATACTTATTTAGCCACACCCTAGCACTAAAACCCCTGACTCCAGGGCCATTAATTTCAAAATTTTGGTAGAGGACTCAATGCTGATCATAATAATGCAAATAATTTGACTGCTTGATGTCCAGGAGTAAAGAAGAAAATTTTTAAAGATTGCATTAATTTTAGTGGTTTTGACCCCACCCCTCAGACCCCAGGGGGGCAGGGATCATGAAATTCACAATTTTTGTCCCCGTCATCCATAGATGCTTTATTTGAAATTTGGTTGACATTGGTTCAGTGGTTGCAGAGAAGAAGATAGAAATGTTCAAATGTTAACGCATGACGGAAGACGCACGACGACGGACGAAAACGGATAGCAACAGGTCACCTGAGTTTACTCAGGTGACCTGAAAATAGCGACTGCGCAGAATTTCTGCGCGCACGGTTCACTGTTATAAGTATTTGTATAAAAGATTCAGTATAATATAATAAATTTTGCATGTAGTTGAGTGTAACATTGAAAATTTTCACCCTAAAGGCCCTTTCACAATTGGCGCACGGGCACTTTACAATCCTTGCAATCGGAAAATTTTAGCTTCGCACGAGCTCTCGCATACGTTGCACGATTTCTCGCATTCATTGCATGTGTTTTAGTGGTCGCATCAAGTCTCTTCAAAATAGTCAACACGCACACTTTTCAGACGCGACCAATTGCGATCCAAATTATCGCAATTCAACGCACGATAGTTAGTACGAACGTCTTAAAACGTTTTATGTACTCGTAAGAGTAATGTACGATTTTTAAAGATCGTAAGATGAATCGCAGCTGTCTTTGCGTGTGTGTTGCGACCATGCGACTGTTGCTCAACATATCTCATGTAATCTTGCAACGTTTTACTATAGTTTTATATCATTGCTTGATTTATCACCTTCATTTGCCATTCTTTGCAACAGGTATATATACCGTGTATAATTATAAGCATCTTAACAATGTCAACCGAAGAGTGTCGGAAACGGGTGGTATATATATATACCCGGCCCTCTGATTCGCACGAAAATTCGTACTATGAAATGCATGAGCGCACGAGCACCGCACGTCCAATCGTAATGTCGCACGTTCAATTGTCCGATTACCTTATCAGTCGTGCAATCCTATCGCATTATCTTACAACACTCGCTTTCATTCTACAACAGTCACATATAAACGCAAGATATATCGCAAGATTTAATTCACAACAGTAGGTTTAAATCGTGCGAATTTCGTACGAACAGTTTTTTCATATGCGATTATTTTGGCAACAGTTTACGAACCTAAACAAAATTATTCGGTCGCACGAATATTTTGTCGCTTCTGCTCGTGCGCCAATTGTGAAAGGGCCTAAAGAAAACCATTGTCGATCTGCGCCTCGGTTGACAATGGTCTTGGGGTGAAAATTCTCAATGTTACACTCAACTACATGCAATATTTATATACTAGCTATAGAAAATAAGTATGTTTTTTTTTAATTAATATTTCAAGCACCAGCCTAATCGTGTGCAAATTTTCTATTTTCACACAAGTTTTATTAATGTATCATGCGTCTTTTGTCATTCGCACAAGTTTGCATAACGTTAGGCTCATTTAAACACAAGCTTTGAAATAAATGACCGTTCTCGATTTACTATAGAAAATCACAAATGTCGGCTGACCTCTACCGCATTCATGATTGTACGGTTTTGTTCTTTGTATATTCGTGAATTTCAGCGGTAAGATTTGTTGAATAATATGGTTTGGATTTCAATTAATGATTTGAGATGAAAACTTTGCTTAATTTGATTGTTTATTTTTTCACATTTTACCGTAGCTGCAGATCTGTAGCTCTCCGAAAAAAAAATAATTTGACAGACCGGAGAGCTACAGTGCCACCCACTGTAAAAACTGTATATTTATTGCGCACAAAATTTGCGCTAGTTTCTGGATTTATTCCTCCAAAGTCCTTCCTCAATTGCGAAAAAGCTAAATTTCAAAATATGTATTACTCTTCAATCAATTATTTACTACTTTCGTTGATGACATCTACACGAAGCGCATTTGGGCCGAATTATCTTACAAACCAAAATGACAGTATAAACAAAGAAATTTTCGATGATCTTCATTTCAGGGCCAGGAGGGCTGTATATAACAACAACAACAAGAAAACATTGATGCAACCATCAATTGTCGCCCGAGAAATAAATAAAGAAAACAATGGAAATGACTCTTGATCATCAAACCGCTTCGATATGTATGAAAAAGGCATACGTCTAAATGATGGAGACGATAGCCGAGAATATTTTGAAAACTTATAGTCGGATGAAAATCGAACAAAAACGATACCTTTTCAAACTTTATCAGTTCTTTAAGTAAATGTTGGCTGCATAAAATATACATCGAAACCAGACATACATCAGCTTTTCAGAAATGTATTTCACTTTTAGACAATAAACACGAACTGTATAAAGTACGTTTTTATGCGAAAAGTAAAATTCGTTGTTCTAAAAAAAGGGACCAGTCATTTTCGATAGTAAATGATAAGCAACTTGATATATTAAATCTGAAATACTTACATATTTTTACAGATTCATTTATGGAAGTAAATATATTGTGTATCTCGTAATTTATAAAGGGAAAGAAAATTCTGATTTATATACTTTTTAATGTTCAGAAAACCTTTAATTCGAAAGTAGTACAAATAACTTCTCCCACCTCAATCCCAATAATTATACCAACACTTAAACGTATATGTATAGAGCAGCCCGGTCCTCCGGGCTGCAATAAGGCATGTTTTGTTGTGAAAACGGTGAAGATAATGTTACTAGGAATACATGGTTAGTAATATTTTGATATTATAGTTTAAAAACATAAAGAAATAAATCGATAATTTTGTGCGCAATAAATATACGGTTTTTTCAATAGGTGGCACTGTAGCTCTCCGGTCTTTCAATATATATTTCGGAGAGCTACCGTTCTGTAGCTAATTTTACCGGGGTCCATAAGTGCACTCGTTCTTTTTGTAAACTGGAATTATTAGATTTTGGGTTATTGCATTTTGCGTTATATTCAAAGTTTAAAAACGAAAATCTTAAATCAATTTTTATAGATTAATACGAAAAACACAGCGAATGTAAATAGTTTTTGTCGTGTCCGTCTGTCTGTCTCTTTTGTCTCTCATGTCTCTCTGAAAACAGTCTCTCTGAAAGATCCGCAAAAACTTTACCTTAGGAACTTTTGATTTAGTAGCTATACTTTCATATTTCATATGTATATTTCTTTTGGAGAAATTTGACCTTTTAATTTTGACGCACTTTTACGAAAATTTTAAACTTTTATTTTCATATCTTTTGAACAGTAGATACCAGGATATTTAAATATATTTGCAATGTTTATTAAAATCTTTCATAATTGGATACCACCAACTTTGACCCTTTTTCTTGTAGATGAAAAAACTTTAACCTTGGCCATAATTAATAAGGGATATGGCTTTTACTTTATATATGTAATCCTTGTGAAAAGACCCTTCAATGGATATCAAGAATTGCGCGACCTATGACCTCTGAGTGACCTACTTAAGGCAATTATTGACCATTACTCACTGGCCATATCTTTTTCACACTAATACTGAAGGACATTTATACTTCACATATGTTATGTTTGTTGAAAGACCTTTCATTGTATACCAATACCTTGAATTTGACCTGACCTTGTAAATTTTCATTTTGAAAAAACTTTAACCTTGGCCATAACTTTTGAACGGTAAGTGATATGGCTTTCATACTTTATATATTTAATCCTTGTGAAAAGATCCTTCATTGGATATCACGAACTTGACCCTATGACCTTGACCTCTGAGATTGACCTTCTTTAAAAAAGCAAACATTGACCGTAACTTGTTTAGAGTTAAGATTTTGGGTTATTCTTTACATATTTGCTTATGACAAGACCTTCCATTTAAAACAAAAATTTAATTTGACCTTGACCTTTTTTTGACCTACTTTTTAAAAAAAATGAACGTTGCCATAACATTTGAATGGTTAGGGCAATTTATGTTCTACATAAGTCATTTATGCTGCAAGACCTTTTTTTGATACTAACTACGTTGACCTTTTGACCTTGACCTTGGAGATTTTTGTACTTATTAAAAAAAAACTTTTCCATTGGCTTATTTTCAAATTTCACAATTGTTTTCAAGTAATAATACCCTACTTTTGGTACCAATTAATTAAATTTGCATTTAAGAAAAGCTTAATCTTTGCTATGTTGCCATACGGGGGCATCAGTGTTTCACAAACACATCTTGTTCAGAATGACTTTGTCAGCAAATACAATTTAACATTGAGTCAAATGCTGACTGATGTTTTTCATACTGTTAGTAACAAGAAAACGTACATTTCTGTTATTACATTTTGCGTTGATTAATTTTTTGTGTTGAAGACAATGCAAAATGTAAAAGAATAATAAGTAATGAAGAAATATGATTATTTTTTTGGATTGTGTTTAACACAAATCATCTTACATTTATAATAAATACATATAACATAGGAAAACCCACTTTACAAAAAAAATTAAAACTGTGACCATCAGACCAACCTTACGGCCTCGTCTATTTCGGACATTAATAGTTCTTTATCATACCCCCTCAAAAGAGAGAGAGAGATTTCAAAAAACCCCAAATATTTCTTGAAAAAATTAACTCGGCATTTTTTTTTTTAATTAATTGTTTGTTCCTGCATGAAATATCAACCATACCAATGAATGCGATATTAGAGAAAATTACCGAACACCACCTTCTTATTGATCAAGGTAAATTTACGATGGTATAGAACATGATGATGAACAAGCTATTTTTAAAAACATGTTTATGTATGTCTTCTTATAATACTTCTTTTCTCATAAAATAAATGCTTCTATTCTATATTCTAAATAGTTCCTATTATTTTGCCAACAATTTAAAACTAAAAGAAACACACAATGAATCTTAAACCATAAAAATAATAAAATTATAACATTATCTAAACTTACAAAACCGGACTAACAGCTCATATATATTCGTGTCCTCCATGGTGACGTGAGTCAGTATGTTCATCTGTAGACGGCGTATCAGTAAGGACTCATCACCTTTACAAATGACACACTTCTCTCCAGGTTTTCTGTTGTATCCGTTTGATCTCAGGTACACACTGGCTGTATCATAACTACTGTAATAGAATGGTATATCACGGTCTATTGATGCTATCCTATACATTGTCTCATCCTTTATGTTCTTCGTTATCTTGTCCTGATCTTCCCAAATGTAATCACGTGACTTCAGTCTGTCCAGAGTCTGCTGTGCTTCCTCACTTGTTACAGGATTCTCTTTACGGTACCCTCTCCGTCGTATATCACTAAGCAAGTCCAACCACTCTGTGTCAGTGAAGTCAGGAGGACCGGAGTCAGAACACAGAAAACAGAATAACACGGACACCTCGTCATCAGACAGTGTGGAGAATGGATCTAAATAAAATTAATAATAAATACTCGTATAGTTAAATGGATAGATTAGTTGAGATAATCACTAATTAAACGTATATTAAAGCTAAATCTATTTCTTTCTGCCTTTATATAACGTTTATCATGTCATTTTGTTAATTTTGAACTGCAACACATAATTACACTTTTAATGAATAATATAATTCATAAAAAGGTCCTCTTATGTTATACATTTGATTTAAATTAAAAAAAAGCAGTAGGTAAATCTTTGTTGACTATGATGATATGGGGAATAGGTGGAAAACAGAAAAGAATATTTAAAAGCAAGATTTTTTCTAAATAAAGATACGCATGTAAGGCCTTTCAACTAATTATTCTTGTTGCCTTTATGGTATTAACATTTCATAATTTAAAAAGATTTATTGGTATTTGAAATTCTCATTGAATGAAAAAACAACCATATTCAAGATATATTTCTCTGTTTAACAGTTTTTATGAACAAGATATACGAGTAATATAATAATTTTTTTCGTGTGCATTATTGTTCGTCTTCGATATAGAAATACATTTTACAGAGGTACATTTTTATTATTAAATGCAATAATTCTCTTCTTCTTTTAACAAAGAAAAAAATGCTAAAAAACATTTTAAAATAAATTTTTAAAATTAAATCAGGTTGAAAATAAGAAGTGTCGTGAGGGGCGGGGGGGGGGGGGGGGTTAGATAACTGCATGACAAATAAGAACATACAATTTATGCTTGATTTCAAAATGACTAAGTTCTTCTGGGAAATGCTGATATCTTGACACTATAAAATATCTTGCTACTAGTAATCTTTTATGAAAAGCGCTAACTTTTACATCATTTGACGGCTTACTGTTACATTAGGACAATGTACGGAAGCTCTAATACGATATATACAGTGGCGGATCCAGAGGGGGGGTGCGGAGGTTGCAACCCCCCCCCCCACCTTTGGCTTTGCAAAAAAAGAAAGAAAGAAAGAAGAAAGTCCCAATTTTTTGTGCTCTTACTATAGATGGGTGTATTTTTACGATAGAAAATGTTCCGTGAAAGATTAATGATGTAATATATAAGGAAATTCGCTTGCGAGTACAAAATAAAACCACACCCCCTTTACATAGTAAGATTTTCGGGTTCGGAGTTATATTTTCCTTTCTTTTTCAAAAACAATCAAGTTATTCATTCAAGTACTTTTTCCAGGTTGATCAATTAACCTCCCACTTTTAAAAACCGTACTCCAACAGGTACCTATTGAGTTATTTAACTACATGTATGTGTAAAAATTACGTTATAACAACTGTTTTCCCCTTCAACTACCCTTTGATAAATCCTTCACCCCCCCCCCCTTGAAAAAATTCTAGATCCGCGCCTGATATACACATTTAGCTCAACATTTAATTAAACGAAAAGGTGGGTTCTTTTCTATGCACATTGAAAAAAATTACGCACGTTGAAAAAAAATTTGCAATGAAAGATATGGACATACCAAGTTTATCTATCAGAAAGATATGGACTGGATTCGAATTATGAAATTTTTCTTCCAGTGACCTTGGACTTCTCCAAATAACCTTGGTTTAAGGTCAAGACACACCCTTATGTCATGAGCAATCTTTGATTAAAATGAGAACCTTCCAAGTTTATCTATAAGAAAGATATGGACCGGACACGAATTATGATTTTTTCTTTCGGCGACCTTGAACTATGTACCCCCAAACTTTGTTTGCAGGGGGAATAACTATGCACTTAGTTACTTTATTTAATACCCGGGAGCAGAGGAGAAGATTTTCAAAGATATAATGCATTTTCACTATATACTTTTTTAGCCCCACCCTAGCACTAGAACCCCTGACTCCAAGGCCATGAATTTCACCATTTTGGTAGAGGAATCTATGCTAATTACATTCATGCAAACAGTTTGACTGCTTGATGACCAAGAGTAAAGAAGAAGATTTTTAAAAATTGCATTAATTCTAGTTGTTTGGGCCCCACCCCTCAGGCCCAAGGGGGGCAGGGATCATGAAATTCATAATTCTTGTTCCCCTTCACCCGTAGATGCTTTGTGCCAAAGAATGATTGCACTTCATGTACAAAAAGTGGCCCCCGGTAAATTGCGCAAAAATAAAATATAGAAATTAGCCTAATGAAGTTAATAAAACAATTCTTCTAGGTCTTAATCGCTACTTTGCAAAATTACAGAAATTTAAAGTGAATAAAATTAAAGAGCGAGGCTGTGTTTTGTAAGAGGGGTCAATGCAAATCAAGTATCTCCATTGTTATTCAAAGTTATTCCGATTTATAGAGCTTAAATACATAGTAAGCGCATGCTTGCCCAAATTTCTCAAAAGGACAGAATGTGTGAACTGTTGGAAATTTAACATATCTAAGGGAAAATTTTGGGCAAGCCTGCGCTCGGGGTAAACTTTTTGATGAAAGGTACAAAACTCCGACAGTTTTCTTCACTGTTTACGGGTATTTACATGTCATTGACCTGGTTGTGACCTGTTTAATATTCAAAGAGCTTAATCCACAATGTGCCATATTCGGCCTAGCAAATTAGGCAATTTTAAACACAGCTTCAGAATAAATTTGTTGGTATAATTCTAATTTATAACATTTACCAAATTAATTTATGCAGTAGTCCTCTCTCACCGGATGTTTATTAAAGCAAACTAATTGCCCGAACCTAACACAGTTTTAGGATTTCCGGGAAAATCTCGCTGTTATACCCACTTCAGTATTAAAATTCACATAGAGCACATTCGTTACGGTTTAATTTTCTTTCAAAAAAAATAAACTACAATATTAAAGATATATATGCCGTATTAGTGTTTTATTGCTAAAGAAATAAATATATATGGTGTCTCATCAAGTTACATAAGTTATGTAATTTCTGCAATTAAGACAATTCCACTCCATCACTAATAAAAGTTATGAAATATTATTTTGTAAAAATTATTTTCTCTCCGAATCGGATATTAAACCGCCTCTTATTGAAATATTCATGAACACGTGGTCTCGCATGCTCACAGCAAACAATGGTCCAATCTCGTGAATGAGCCGAAAAGCATGATGGTCTACTACGTTTTCACTACAAACACGTGGGTTAGGGAATTGTACGATGCGATTTTAAATGACGGCTGGAAGCCAATTTACATTTTTTAAAAACCTGTTTTAGAAATATATAGGAAGAATCTATAGTTACTAATTGAGAATTCTCATGCTCACATTAACAAACAAATGCATTTTTTACCGAGGAATATATATATATATATATAGTCACGTGAAATTGTCTTTTCACTGTCAGTAGAGCACGGGGAAATTGTAAACAATCGGTCCTGTACAATAGAGTGGGGAAAACTCTTATTTTTACCATTGTTCATGTGTATGCAAATGTTAGCATGGGATTTGTAGATGATAATGTACATAATGCATTAAGCGTGTAAATGCTTGGGAAATGTACCGCGTCTTTCTGAGAGCGATTTAAACTAGAAGTCTCTGTCGAGACTGAAGCTCTACTGGTTTGTACTTATAGCAAAGGAAGAGGAAAGTACTTAAGCAGTTGGGAATTGAAAATTTACACTAGCAAAAAGGAGAATAATGATCCTTGAATAAGTCTCTTTATGTTCTTAGTGTAGTCTACTTGCATGCCACATTATATTATAATCAGACTAAAACTGTATTTGAAGTAGCATTTTGAGAGTAACAGAAATTGCTATCTTTATTAACCAACGTAATAATGTTCATTGAAGTCAAAAACCAATATAAAGAATTATGTACCTTAGTGTAGTCTACTTGTGTGCCAAGTTACATTGAAATCATACCAAAACTGTAGGAGGAGTAGCATTTTGAAAGAATTTCACAGAAATTTCTATTTTTAGTAATAACGCCAACACCGTTCGTCGAAATCAAAAACCGATAAACAGAATTATGTATCTTAGTGTAGTCTACTTATATGCCAAGTTATATTGAAATTAGATCAAAACTGTAGGAGGAGTAGCATTTTGAAAGAATTTTACAGAAATTTCTATTTTTAGTAACAACGCCAACACCGTTCGTCCAAATCAAAAATAGATACACAGAATTATGTACCTTAGTGTAGTCTACTTGTGTGCCAAGTTTTATTGAAATCAGACCAAATTTGTAGGAGGAGTAGCATTTTGAAAGAATTTCACAGAAATTTCTATTTTTAGTAACAACGCCAACACCGTTTGTCGAAATCAAAAACCGATATATAAAGAATTATGTATCTTAGTGTAGTGTACTTGTGTGCCAAGTTATATTGAAATCAGACCAAATTTGTAGGAGGAGTAGCATTTTGAAAGAATTTCTTAGAAATTTCTATTTTTAGTAACAACGCCAACATCGTTCGTCGAAATCAAAAACCGATACACAGAATTATGTATCTTAGTGTAGTCTACTTGTGTGCCAAGTTATATTGAAATCAGACCAAATTTGTAGGAGGAGTAGCATTTTGAAAGAATTTCACAGAAATTTCTATTTTTAGTAACAACGCCAACACCGTTCGTCGAAATCAAAAATAGATACACAGAATTATGTACCTTAGTGTAGTCTACTTGTGTGCCAAGTTATATTGAAATCAGACCAAATTTGTAGGAGGAGTAGCATTTAGAAAAATTGTTTACAGACAGACAGACAGACAGACAGACGGACGGACAGACGGACGGACGACGGACGCATTACTATCGCATAAGCTCTTCTGGTCTCTGACCAGTAGAGCTAAAAACTAGCCTATTCGAAAAACACATGTAGTATTTATGTACTGAGTAGTAACCCATAAATGCATTAAATACAACTCATTGAGCTGATTGGTCGATTTGTCAGTCTTGTTGGTTCCTCGCTGAACAGACGTCACAAAAAATAGTTTCCTCGACCCGATGATACTCGTGATGCTTTTCCCGCGCTCATGCGCAGATCCAACATAAACGTCAGTCCTTTATAAATATGCATGAGAATATCGTGTTCTTTTCCCGACCAGTACTTTG